TTTTCTCTATCCTAATTTGTAAAAATTTAGCATTTTTTTACCAACTTAACTTTTATTTTATAATTGTAGATAATTTAGAAAATATATCTAGGGTTAATGAAGAAAATTAAAACTATTCCTAATCCTGCCAATTTGAGATAATCTTTTTAAGATTTGCATTCCGTTCCTCACCTTTTTGGTTTTTCACAAATTCAGAATAAAAGCATATAAATAATCTTGTACTATATTCTAGTTCTTTTTTTCCCCTTAGCACTGTATGTTGGCTGTTTTCTTACGTCTTTATAATAGTATTAGAAAATGTTTCAGATTTTATATTATTCTATAATGTAGCTCCATCATTTATTTAACTGCTGTGTTTTAAGATATTTAGGCATTTCCTACTATTTTTGTTATAAATAATTCTTTGAACATCAGTTACACTAAATCTTGACTCAGCTTTCCAGTTATTTAAAATAAATTAATATAGTAAACTGAACTTTTTATAAAAGATCTTAATATATGATAATAAAATGTTCTTCCCTTGACACTATTGTGAGGTTCAACATTTTCAAAAAACCTATTGAAAAGTACTTTTTTTATTTTGACCATTTCTTTGTCCTAAGTTTTAGTATGTCTTTTGGTGATTGTTTTGGCTGAGTAAGAAGAATCACTTTTCTTTTAATAATTTTTATGTGCTTCTTTTTTTAGCGGGGGTACCAGGGATCAAACTATGACCTTGCCCTTGCCAGGCAGGTGCTGTACTGCTGAGCTATATCCCTGGCCCTGTTTTAATAATTTTTAAAGTGCTGTTTTCAGCAGTTTTTCATATCTTCATTGAAATTTTCAAGAAAATACATCAGCTACAGATTTTAGGTTTTGATCTTTAATTGGAAAATGAGACCTGGTGCTTAAAACAACTATTAGACTGGAAAGGAGAGTGAAATGTGAAAACCACCTGTATGGAGATGAAGGGGATGCTCTGGTAGTTAGTATATGAGATTGCTGAGGAAAATAGAGGATAGTGGGAAACCCCACTTTTATGGAACACTTAAGTGCAGTGGGATAGAATGAGGACAAGGATGTTAGAGTATTTCAAGCACTATGGAAAAAAAGTTTCGCTGGGGTAGGTTGAAGGAGAAAACTAGTAATAGTGTTAGATGCTGCAGATATGTTTTCTATGATGAAACCAAAACAGGCCATTCAGTTCAGAAAACACAAGATCTTTGAAGACCTAGTAAGAATCTCAGTACACTAGTGTTTGTACAGTGAGAAGTGTGTGTGTTCAGTGAATGCAGTGGGTGTGTGCACTGTAAGAATGTGTATGGTGAGTGTTAAGAGATGGGCACGTTGAGTCAGGGGGTGTTACGGTTTCTATCTAGTTGTTCCCCTAGAGCCTCAAGTGATCATAGGCAGGACCTTTGGAAGTTAATTGGGTTATAGGGGTATATATATATAAAGATATATATGTTTATTATATATATCTTTATATATATATAAATATATATATCTCTTTATTAGGGGTCACTGTGCCCATGATCTGGAAGGCTATTATTTCCCTTCCTGGCTCTTCCATTTATGTTCTTTGCTTCGTGTTCACCATGCCGCTAGCAGCTCTCCTCTGCTAGGCCCCTCTGCCATGCCATCCTGCCTTGGAGCCAGCAAACTATGGAATGTGAAACCTCTATGTACTGTGAGCTAAACAAACCTCTTCCTTTAAGTTCTGAGTATTGATTTTTGATGGTGTTTCAGCAATGAGAAAGTGACCAAGGTGGAGGAGTGTGCATGAGTGTAATGAGAATAGTATCTTAATAAGGTTCTGGGATTAAAGGACATTTTTTAAGGTGATGCAAATTTATATCTAAGCAAAGAAAAAAATGTTTTAGAATTTTAAGAGAAATTTATAAGATGGGGAATGAATAAGATACATCTTGAATATGAAAGGCAATGTGATCTAAAGTGGGAGGGATTAGAGTTTTAGATTGAGAATTCAGCAGAATGTCCATCTGTTAAAATGAGAAGAGAAGAAATGCCTAGATGCATTTTCACTGATGAAATGCAGACATTTTTAGGAAGACTAGAAGGTAAATAGAAATTATTTGATGTAGAGGAGAATGTTGAAGCTTTGGATATTGTGATTCTTCATCCTTTTTAATAAAATAGAAATCAAAACCACAATTTAAGAACAGAGAACTCTTGGAAACAGTGATGAGGTTAAAGATTTCAATAGTGAAAATTCTAAGAACATCAGTGTAGACTTGTAATAAGGACAAACTTCAAAAAAAATGAAATTACAAAAATCTAAGTGTTAGGTGACTTTGGTTTTAGGCCTGTGGCATTAATTGTGTTAAACAAACCTCACCTATCTAGTTTTTAGTTTTTCAGTCCTCTCAGTGGGAGGTTGAATCAGGTGGCTTTTTAGATAGAAAAAATCTTGAATCAAACTCAGTTTAGAATGAATAAAACTACCATAATCAAAACTTGGTGGTACTGGTAAAATGAAAGACAAGTAGATCAGCAAAACAGAATAGAGAATCCAGAAGTAGATGCGTACATATACTGTCAGTTGATTTTTCTACAAAGGTGTAAAGGGAATTTAATAGAGGAAGAGTGGTCCTCTCAGTGAATGAAGCCGAATCAATCAGAACACTATTGAACTATGAATCATTTCCTACCTTGTACCATTTATAAAAATTAACCCAAAATGAATCACAGAGACCTAAAATTCTGGATGGTGACATAGGAGAAAATCTTTGTGAACTTTGCATTAGAGAAAGATTTCATGGATACTACCCCTGAAAGCAGTTTATAAATGAAATAAATTGAGATTAGTGAAGTTAACAACTTTTGCTTTTTAAGATAACGAAGAAAATGAAACAGACAAGCCATATCTGAAATTAAGGTCATATTTTGCTTGTCGCAAAGTTCCTTAGGTTATTAAAAATCTGGACCTATTTATAGAACATTTCATCTAAGTATTTTATATCAAATGATCTTGAGAAGAAGAGAAGAGGCTGGCATATCCCAGGAGGTAATCTGTATTTTATTGTTTCTTCTTTTGTGGCTGTTTCAAATGCCTTGCAGCCAGCCAGACATCCTATGGCTGCTCTAAGTGACATTTGCTTTGGTTGCAGCAAGCTTCTATTTCAAATGACTCCACCCTTCTATAGCCATCCTCAATCAGGTTCATGAGGAGCCCCTTCTCTATCCAGGACTACAGAGAAATTTTAACATTGTACAAGTGTGAGCTGACTTTCCCCCTCATATTAAGCAACCTTTCCATACCCTTAGTAGGTAGGTCTGTCCACTGTTTCTATCTATACTGAAGCATAAGTCCTAATAAAGCCTCTTTTGGGTAGCATATTTTTGCTTCTTTGTGGTTTTTATCTCAAGTACAGCAGCCTTATATTGTACACTAAGAGCTGGTAATACCAAAGGCTGGTGACACCAAAAGTGGCCAGCAGCTAGGCTGGAAATACTGCAGGAGGCTATCAGCCAGACAGTATGAAGAGCAATGGAGAATTGCTCGAGCCTGGGTCTGTAGTCCTTATGTCGTCCTCTGAGGGCTGACAGTAGCTGGAAAGTGGCGGAGGGCTGCTAACTTAAGAGCTGTAACTACTGGCGTCCAAAGCTCAGGGCTGTTACTACTGAAAGATACATGTTGCTTAGCTGTGGTTTTTGATCCACATTTCAGCAAAAGAACCCTCAGTTGATTGGTTATAATGTTATATTAAATTGTGTGGCGTATGTCACACAACAGCTAAAATTAAATAAAATATGTTCCATTTCAGAAATAGTATGTAATACAGCTTTGGAACAAATTCATTGAGGTATAATTTGCATGCACTAAATATATCAATTATAAGTGCTGGTTCAATACATTTTGACAGATATGTTTGCCCTTGCGATCACCACCATTAAACTGTCAAACTTTTTTTCTTTGGAGGTAGCTATATCCCAGCTCCTTTTTCAGTGCTTATTTTGAGACAAGGTTTCACTAAATCACTCACTTTATCCTAAATTGAGGTTCCATAACAATGTAATTATGTCACATACTTTTTATCTATAATTGATTTCAGAACAATACCAAATTTTATCATGCTTTTCTTCTCAGCTCTATTGTGATCTTCAATCAGGAGTAAGCTAATAGTGCCAATTGTTTGCCATTGGAGAATTTGACATTTTCTTTTTCTTTTTTGGTCTTTTTGAGACAGGATCTTGTTTTGCAGTTCAGGCTGGCCTTGAGCTCACCGTAGCCCAGGCTGGTCTTGAACTTGCAGCAATCCTTTGCAACGATCCTTCTGCCTCAGCCTTCCAAGTGCTGGGATTACAGGCATGCACCACCATGCCCTGCTCATTTCTTTTGTTTTGAATTTAGTTTAATCCAAACTTTACAGAATGTACATCTGTATTTGGAAGGTAGTATATATTGTTGGGAAAAAGTATTCTAATAATAATCATAGCTATCACTTACTGAGCACTAAGTAAATGCCAGACACTATTCTAAAGGCTTCATAAATACAATTTTATTTAATTCTAATAAACTGAGGTATGTGTTATTTGTATTTTTATAACTAAAGCAGTTAAGGGAACTAAGATATAGGAATTACACAAGTTTAGACTACATTTGAAAGAACAAATTGATGAAAGCATGAGTAAATTTGAGCAAAGGAAGTATAGTCAAGAAAGTGGGCGTCCTATTAGAGAGTCCTATTAGAGATTCTAAAATCTTTTAGTGTGGCTTTGATGACATTGAATTATTGAAAAAGAAACTTTCAAGGAACTAACTTACAGTTTCTACATGAAGTGATTTAATTTTCTGATCTTTTAAATTTTTAATCTTTTAATTAAAATTTAAGTGTTTATTAATGTAGAATAAAGTATTTTCAAGTGTATACCAATATAGCAATTTAAAAACACATATATTTTGTTATGCTGAATAAAAAATCACATATAACACAGTTTGAATACAATAGTCAATGTGTAAATGATTTATACTTGACCTTTTTTATTATTGTTTACAGAAAGATTGTATTCAAAAGAAAAAGGAACTATGGGGAATCTGTATCTTTATTGCAGCAGTTGACCTAGATGAGATGCCGTTCACTTTTACTGAGCTACAGAAAAACATAGAAACCAGGTAAAATTTCTTATATAAATTTAGGCCTAGAGAACTACTTTAGGACTCTTCTCTTAACAGACTGTAGGAAATTAGTGAGAAATGCTAAAATTAAATAAAATATAAAAGACTTGTGTCAAATAGTGAATTGTCATTCTCTCATGAAATCTTTAATGGAAGTTTATTTATGTTACAGTTCTTAAAAGTGTAGCAGTTTGTGTCATGGGAAAATTTTTATCTGTCAGTATTCATTTGTAGATTGTCTTTATAACTATTGGTAAATTATGTCAACAGAGCAAGAGTAAGGATTTATAAAGTAGGCTTATATATTAAAATCTTTATAAAAGTAGTGTGGATCTAATATAAAGGAATTTAGGTAAGATTTATTAAAATTTAAGATTCTAACATAGGTATTATAATTACATTATTTTTTAGTCTACTATATATTCTGCTAAGTATCCACTACAGTGTTTGACCCAGTAGTTACTTAAATGTTCTGTTGATCTTTTAAGCCTTGGAAGAATATACTGATTTGCTTCGGTAATTTATGAACTTTATCTTGCAAAACCTTCCAGGACTTCTAGTCATTCCTGTGCAGCATGTTTACAAAGCACAATAATAAATAATTTTACTAGATGGGTAGTTGTATATGTTTCTACTCTAGTAAAGCCCTCTAGAATTAAACCTAACTGGTATTTTATTTAAATTAGGATAAAATTGTTATATTTTTATAATACTTTTTCTTTCTGTCTTTAAATAGAATGTGGAGGCAGAGACTTTTTTATATTCATAAATATACAGAAATTATATCAATAACATAAATAGTTCATAGAGTCAAGTCTATAAGGCCACAGGCACTGATTCAATCCTCTGTCCCTCTCTTCCTTTTTTCCTTAAGTTAAATATAGAAGAAAGCTTTGTTTCTAACAGCCCACAGTTTTCATGATACTCTGACAGATATTGCCATACACCCTATAAAAACAGAAAGCAAGAGTGATTCTTTAATAAATGCTATTCTGTAGTTGATTTTTCTTCCCCTTTTGGACTGTACACATATACTGCATTCTCTTTTCTTTTCTAATCAACATCCTAATCTTCTCTATCTTGTAGCATTTCTAACTTCTTTATTTGCTTTTCCACATGGCTTATGATGACTGTCTCCATCCCTTTGATATAATGGGAACTTTCCATTTTTCTTCATTACTGAGTATTGAACCCAATGCCTCACACATGTGAGGCAAGGTTCTGCCACTGTGCTAAAACCTCAGCCCTTTTAATTTTTATTTCAAGGCACAGTCTTGCTAAATTATCCAGGATGCCTTGAACTTTGACCCTCCTGTCTCAGACTCCCAAGTAGATGAGATCATTGGCATGTGCCTCTGCAACCAGTTTATGCAATGGAAAATTTTAGTCACCTGTTTTTGGTTCTTTTTTATTTTATAGACAATATTTCCCTGTGTTGCCCAGGCTGGTTTCAAGCTCCTGAAATCAAAGAATCCTCTGTCTTGGCCTCTAGAGGGTTGAATCTCCACGCTTAGGCTTCTGTACTTGGCCTGGCTGAAGCTCTTGTGGGTTGCTGGGCAGACTCTAAATAGGTCCAGTGACTAATAGTATTTGGTCCAGTTAGCTGTTTTTGGTGTAGTTCCTTACTCAAACTTGATTAGAAATTAGAGTATCAGATGCACTTGGTGATTGCTGTCTTTAATACCCTAACAGAAAATGTATACATTGATGTTTTGAACATTATATTTAATGGAAAACAATAATGAAGGACTTGGGATAATTATTTAAACAATTTAAAATTTTTTATCTTCCCTTTCTCCTTCCCCCTCAATTCAGTCCTAAATCTCCAGTGTATGCATCAGCAGCATGGGAGTGCCAAGAGGCCCAGAGATACTAAAGCATAGTGGGATGAGGAGTGCAGCTACATGGGAGTGTGGGGTTGTCCTGACATGGCCTGTGTGGGGTGGAGTGTTGAAGATCAAGCAGGTGTGTGAGCTGTTAGTGCAGGGAGTCACAGTACAGGGAGAGAAGGAGGGCTGCCCAGTATGGAGAGTCAGAGCCACAGCAAGGGGAGGAAGAAGTCTACTTAAAGGGGTGGAGGCAATCCAGAAGAGGGAGGCAGGGAAGGAGAATGTCCACACTGGGGAGTAGGTAGCTTTGCAGAAGAGTTCTAAGTATTTAAAGGGAAACACTAGCGTGAACCACATGGCTTTGTATTGGAATGAAATAAATGGTTGCAAGCTCATTTTTTAAAATTTTGTTTTACTGCTGTTTACAGTGCTGGAGATTGAATCAAAGGCCTTGCACATGCTAGAATGTCATGGTTTTGAAGCAAACAGATACAGAGTGACTTTTAATAGTGATTTTGTACTATAGGTATATAGTACAAAAAGCTAGAAGAAACGATTCAAAAAGCTAAAAGGAAAGATTTTGAGTACCTTGGCCGTAAAGAAGTGATAAATGTTTAAACAGATAGATAAGTTTATCTTACTACATAATATATACATTTACTGAAACATCATGTGGTACCCCATTAATATGTAAACTTGTATTTTTATGTATCATTTAAAAATAAATTTAATAACTTCTACAGATAGACTTAGCAATCAGTATACATGTAGGTGTCCTTTCATGACCTTTGTCATCTTATATGCTCAATCACAAATTGATGTAACATAGATATGTAGATAATGGGGGAATGGGTTGAGGCCGGTTGACTTTTTTTCTTTTAAAATTCTAGTAAAATGCAATAAATAATTCATTCCAGAGGACTTGATAATGATTTGATGTAGAGCTAATAATCTTTCAAATTAAAATGCCTGTGTTTTGAAAATAAATTTTAAAAACTAGTGTTTCACTTTCTTATTCTTTCATTTGTAGTGTCTATAAATTCTTTGATTTAGTAAAAGAAATTGATACCAGCACCAAAGTTGATAATGCTATGTCAAGACTGTTGAAGAAGTACAATGTGTTATGTGCACTCTACAGCAAATTAGAAAGGTAAAGTAAAAATTTTATTAGTGTTATACCCTGATTTTTCATGTCACTGTTCAGAGTTTGATACCATCTTGGAACTATTATATACTTTGTAAAAGTATTATTTCCCCTTAGATTTGTCTCTTTTGTGATTCATTTTTCTTTCTAGCTTATTTATCTACTCCAGTGCATTTTCATTGTTTCCTTAAAATTAATTGTCTTACTATTCTTTTATTTTCATAAACTTAAAGCTTAGTTCTCATTTTAGTCTTATTTGTCCAGAGACTTCTAGTTCTGACTACTGGTCTAAATTTTAACTCTATCTATGGCATTATTTAGTTTGGAAGAAAATACATTTTGGTAATGGAAGATGTATGTGATCTGCACTAAGATTGTGGTTTTGTGTTTCCAGTGGTGGTGTAGAGGCGATTTCACCATTACTGCTAACAGGAGAATAATGAAAAAACTTGAATTAAGTTTTTAAGTACATTTTTTATCTAAACTGTGGTTTTCTAACTCAAGTGTTGTAGTCCTTAATATGACATGTTCCTGTCCCTTTGTTTCGGGATTCATTGCATTTGAGTACATACATATGAAAGTTGATGTTTTAGCTAAAACAGCAATTAGTTATAGGATGGTAAGGAGGAAGGTTGCATGTCCTTAGGTATTCTGGAGAGAATGGTGATGGAGACAGAGCTGGAAAGAAGCATCTTCTCAGAAGCATACATCTGGGGAGTTTTTTCTTTCCCTTTTCTTGGTTGGTATATGACTAAAACTTCAGCGGTAGGATAGAAGGTGAGAAAAATAGAGAAAAAGCCCAAGGGGTGGCCTCAGGGCTTTGGGGGAATGTCATTTCTTACATTTATTTATTTTTGTTCTTTTTTGAAGAGGTAGATTTTTTTCTGCACAGGAAAAAGGAATTTTTTTTGTTATTACATGAGATACATAGGTAATTTGCATAAGGAATGTAAACTAATTATAGAATATTTAGAAATTACAGAAAGTCATAAATTATAAATCAGACAAAATTTCGGTGCTAGAGATAATCACTTTCTATGTTTTAGAATACTTCTTTTAGCATACTGTTTTACATTAAGTTGATAAGATTGTTCACATAATTTTTGTCCTTTTAAAATTTAGCTAATGGTGGTGACTCATTAAATTCTTTTCTGTCCTTCAAATTTGCTTACAACCTTTTACCTATCAGGGAATTTATCATAAGAATGTGATCCCAAGTATAAAAAAGCTTTAGCAATTTTTGTTACTAGTCCTCCAAAAATTAGAAACTACTTACTAATTCATAACTGAAGTTAAAAAATACACTATAAGTTTAATTAAACATAAAATTATATAAATATAAGTGAGGGATAAGCATAGGAAAGTGCTTCTAGTATTAAATAAATTAAACAGGCTGTACTGTGGTGATGTCTGTGTTATAAGGAAAAAACCCAGACCACTAATTAGAATAAAATGATTGGAAATAAGTTTACCAGAAGTGCAGGTTTTCCTTCCTAAAGAGCCTGTATTACCTTTATAATAAAGTAAACAAAGATTTTCTAAGCCAATTGTAAAGAAAATTATATTCTTTACAGATTAGTACTAAAAAAATACAATTATCAGGTCATTTCTAGATATGGGATTTTGGGACTAAGAGTGACTTGGGTTTAGTCCTTTTTTTTTCCTGCAACAATAATTTTAATTGGCTACTTCTGAGTTGTTTTACTATTGTCTAGGATGAGTAATCTGCTTTGGTATTAGATTATGTTTTACCTTTTTTCTTTACTCATCATACCTTACACTGATGAACTGTATTTGAGTCTTCTGGAGGCTAAGGGAGAGTTAGTAAGAGATATCAGAGAGTGGAATATCCTAACAAGTAATTACAGACTTCATAGTCTACTTTTTTTAGGTGGCAAGTAAGCCAGTATTCTCTTTTATGTTCAGATTCACGTTAAAATCCTATATATATTTATTATATTTATTAAATATATATTTATTTTGTGTGTATACTATTTTTAATAATATTAATGATCGGGAAATATAGGGAGAAGAGCATTTTAGAGAATTAGAAAATTCATATTTGCTTCATAATTCTGTACATTTTTGATTTTAAAATGTGCACTTTTTTTTTTGAGACAGAGTCTTGCTATGTAGTGCAGGTTGGCTTTGAACTCACTTATGTAGCCCAGGCTGGTCTCAAACTGATGGAATTGTCCTGCCTCAGCATCCAAAGTGGTGGGATTACACGTGTGTGCCACCATGCCTGGCTAAAATGTATACTTCTTAAAATGAATGGAGTTTGATGAAATTCCTGTGATTTCTGTATAATGAAAATATTTTAAAAGTCATAATGTTAGTGAAATTATTTCTTTCTTTCAGGACATGTGAACTTATATATCTGACACAACCCAGCAGTTCGTAAGTAGCAGAGTGCTTTTTACTTTTTAAAAGTTTTTTTTCTGGAATAATCTCAACATATTGATAACATTAGATTTACTGTGTTGATGTCACTAGGCTATTTCATAAGTTAAGGCCATAAAGTAGTCCAGTGTCAGTTATTTAACTTATGAAGAAATACATAACCTGTGCAACAAAGAAGAACTAATAAGATGGAAGTGGATTCAGTGCAAAATTATTAGCAGCTCTGGGAAATGCAACCAGCTGATTCAATCTTTATTGAGAGTCTGTCACAGATAGACTTAGAACATTAATTTTGTGTAAGAATAAACATAAAGATTATATTAAAATTGCCAAATTAGTTTTTTAGATCTGTAGTCCATGCTATAACAGTATACACATGGAGAGCTCCAGAGTTTTCCTTTGGAAGCAGATGAATAGCACAGATCTCCTGCCTCATTGAAGTAGTAGTATTGAAAGTGATTAACATAAAGAGGAGTTTTATGTTTATTAATTAATTGATATGCATCTATTAATTCCAACAAGTGAATGTCTATAGAAAAATTATGGCAAAGGATTAAATTGGCAAAGCAGAGTAACCCAAAACTTCATTTTTTCTACTTACTATGTTGATTTTAATTAGAAAACAAAGAGCACACAAATATTAAGGTAATTTGAAACCAAATACATTACAAAATGCTTTGTCCTGTAAATAACTTTTGGTTAGAATTGGGATATTCAGTATTTCCTTTAAAAATATACTGTTACATGTGCTGAATATATTACCTTGGTTAGAAACACTAAGTGAATTGAAATAAATTAAGGTACAAATTGTGCATTTAAAATATGCTGTATTCTATTACGCATTTAACTCAGGTCTATAATTAAAAACAGCAAAGCACCCCAAAGATTTAGTTAGAAAACTTTGTCAGTGTTAAGTTTTTCTTTTTCATTCCTGCTTTCTATTTGTGTACTAGAATATCTGCCGAAATAAGTTCTGCATTGGTGCTAAAAGTTTCTTGGATTACGTTTTTACTAGCTAAAGGTAAATTTACTATGTTTATTATGTGCTAATGTTTCATATGTAATAACTTGATTTTTTTTTTGGATTAAGCAGAAACTTTTTATTCAGGTAATGCATCCTTCATACCATTCTCTGCATGGCTTGTTAATTGCTAGAAATGTCTTGTAATTCTGTAATGCAAACATTTTGAGACTATTTCATTTTATATGAGTATTTTATCCTCCCTCTGTTCCTTTTTTCCCTTCGTTCTTGTGGTCCTGGATATAGAATCCAGGGCCTTACCCATGTTAAACAAGCACTTTACTGCTGAACTGTACAGTAGCCCTCTTTTTTTTTTTTAAGAATAAGGATCTGCTGTGTTTATAAAAATATTTGTTCAAGATAAACAGTAAAGTGCAAAGAAAAATTATACAAAATCCACCCGAAGAATAACCATCATTAAAACCATGTGATTATTATTCCAGATGTATATTTGTGTATACATTCTGATTAAATAGATGGGTAAATGAATGCATTCACAGACATAATTTTCTAAAAATAGGATCATACTGTCTTTAAAACATATAAATTAATTTTACTTGAATTTTATAGAAGAAAAGACATACAAAAAATTGGTAGGAAATAGGCTTTTTGGTGCCATATTCCCTATGTTTGACATGTTTATGGATCATGTCCAGAGACTTTCTACTCAAGGGACAACTTTGCTGCATATCCTAATCTTAAGTCATGCTTTGACTCTCTTATTATTTTCTGGCATAGATCTTGAGAAATCTGAGACTAGTTTATAAATCTCTCCTTATTTAGTTCCCTGAATATTTGAAGAGCTTTTCCATCTTTCCTTCCTAGATTTAATATTGCCAGGATATCTCTTGATTTTTGTAATTCTACATTAGTTTCTCTTGGAACATCAGAATTTTTAAACTTGAGATTTTGCTTTTCATTTCAGAGAAACTTTACTATATCATTAAATATTCTATTTAATTAGGTTATTCTTTACTGTTTGAGGAACATTAATTACCTTATATTGGATTGTTCTGAGCCTCCATAGTGTTTTTATCATAAGATTTCTAAATTTTCATCTTTTTCTTATATATTGATTGTTTTTATCTCAATTGTTCTGTTTTGAGCCCAACTATTTAATGGTATTGTTTCATTCTTAATTTTTTCTTAGCTTGGCCTACTCCTTGTTTTCATATAATTTAAATTAAATTCTTAGTGTAAGACCTGATAGGGGATTTTTTCCCTTCAGATTCTAATCTGCATTGAATTTTCTTTTTTCCATTCCTATATTGTGATTCTGTTATTTCTTTTCTGTAATATATTTTTATAACCACTTTTCTCCCTCATCTTGCTGGCGCTTTCTACAGCTAACACTGATTCTGTGTTGTTACCCCTAATGTATGTGGGTGAAATCTCCCTTCACTTACTTTGTACTTAATCTGTGGCTTGCTTGTGTTCCCTAAAAAACTAGTATATAATTGTAAGGTCATCTATAATTATTTAGGAAAAAACTGTAAAAATTAAATTGCATGTTAAAAGGTATTTTTATTATAGAAGGAGAAAGGAGCTTATTTATTTGGAGTCATGTGAGCCTTTGTTGTTTGAGTTTATGAATTCCATAATTCTTTTTATAACAAGATTGTATTGGAATTCAGATTGTTCAGTTGACCATAGTAAACTGGCATCATTATGTTTATCAACTAACTACAGTTCTGTACTTCTTCCATTTTATCCCTCTCTGAGCAATTTCTATTTATTCCAATTTAGAAGAGGAAAAAAGATGAGGATTCCTTCTGAGTTACCCTCAGATTTAGATTAGTAGTAACACTGGACCCCAGTATATAGTTTTCCTTTCTTGTGTTAGAAATAGGAAGAAAGAGGTTCTTTCATCTAACCTTTCTACTATTTTTACCTTAAGGTACTTAATATGTTTCTTTGCCTCTGTGGTACTTCTTAATAACTTCTGAGTATTTTGCAAACACATTTTTGCATCCTATCTATGAATCTAGGAAACTTGCCTGGTAGAATTTTCTCACATATTTTCTGTCCCTTTAGTATTTATTGGGATTATTGCTGGTTTAGCAGTCAAGTACCCAGAAGATAGTATATCAAATTAAATTCTCTTTAAAAAATAATAGAGCCATGAATAAATGTGTAGCTATACTATTTTAATACTATTATTAAAAAATAATAGAGCCATGAATAAATGTGTAGCTATACTATTTCTTTTTTCAGGTATCTACTATCTGCAGTTATTTTTTCATAGCCCTCTAGTTGTATATATAATACTAATTTTTACAGTTTTCTCTAAATAATTATAGATGACCTTACAATTATATATTAGTTTTGTTATTTCTTAATGGCTTTGGTTAGTGTAATATTTTGGCGGCAGTTCAGATTGAAAATATATGAGGCTCATAAATAATTAGAATTAAAGATTAACATATATTATACTTTTAAAATTATTTTCACAAGTAGTAAATTCTGTAGCTCATACCAAAACTGTAAATAAGTTTTTAAAAAGCAAAATGCAAATGATTTTAGACATAAGGAATGAACTATTATGGTAAATTAATACCTTATTCATTTTATAACTTTAAAGTTATAACTTTATGTCTTTATTTATATATTTTAAACCTGACTGATTTTATTTTTACAAAACATAAAAAGGGAAAAGTTTTATTATGTCTCTAGTAATTATGAAATGAATGAATATATGGATATACCCATACCCACAAGTTTCTCTGACTTAAAGTTACTCACCTCTAACTTTCCTTAAATATGTAAACCTTTTTTATTTTCAGGAGAAGTATTACAAATGGAAGATGATCTAGTGATTTCTTTTCAGTTAATGCTGTGTGTGCTTGACTATTTTATAAAGCTTTCACCTCCTGCACTCCTCAAAGAACCATATAGTAAGTATTTTAGATAATTTGTACCCCTTCTACTTTTTCTTCAGTAGTTATTTATTGAATGTCTAGGATGTCCAGTATGGTTCTCAAACAGAGAGGATGATAGTAAATCAGACATGAGTTCTTCCCTTGTATTGCCAGCTTTCTGTTGTGACAATACGCACCCAAGATAATCAACTTATAAAAAGGAAAGATTTATTGTTGCACAGGTTTTCTCATGTTCTACTCCATGATCAGTTGGCCCTGTTGTTTGGCAAGGCAACACATCATGGCATGTACTCGAGCAAAACCACTCATCTCTTGACAGAGGAGTAAAAGAGAGAAGGGTAGGGTTTCTGTTGTCCTCTTCAAGGGTATGCTGCAAATGCCCTTAAGACCTCCCACTTGGCTTCACCTCTTGATGTTTTCCTCACCTCCCAACAGCATCAAGCTGGGGACCAAGCCTTCCACACATGCCCTTTGGGGACATTCCAGATCGAACCACAGTAGGCTTCAAGTAGAATGAATTATGGAAGGAAAGATAAGACATGTAAAACAAATAATAGAGAGTATGCTAGAAAGTGGTCTGGGTTAGAATAAAGCAAGTGCTATGGGAGTTTAGGAGTTCAGATTTCCCAATTGTGGGAAGCCAATGAATACCACGTAAAAGAGTGGTATTTGAAATGAGTTTTGAAGAGTAGGTAAGGTTGGGGAAAGGCATTCCATTGAAGAAGGGTGAGGGAGGGTATTCCCATAAAGAAGAGCAAGAGATAGGATAGAAACGAATGGACCTGCTTGGGAGAGAGTGGTTCATTCTTTAAGAACAGCTTACCTAAATTTTTTACTAGTATTGGGTAATATAATAATTATGTGACTTTTTTGATATATGAACTGTAGTTGATACTGTATCAGTGAGTAATGAGATGGGAAATGTACATTGGACCCTTGACTCAAATCATTTGTGAGGGGTGGTTGTATGCATCTGAACCTCCTAAAGCACCCCTTAAATAGCCTTTTCACAATAAAAAGGGTTGTATAATGTGCATAATTTACCAGAAACACCAATAATTTTCCTAGTGTATTCATCACAAAGTTATAAAATGTACTTCGTTTACTAGAAACAACAATTTCATACTGTACTCACCGTTGAAGGTGATATCTTTGGCTTGCAGGAAGGGAGAATGAAATGGAAGGTGGTTATTGTTTGGAAGGAGAGTCCCCTTCCCATGAGAACATCAGGAATGTGGCTCTCTGGTGTCTTTTCTCTCTTTGGGAGACTCTGTAGCTTATAAGGACCTGGTTCTGGCTCCCTAGCCCTCAAGCTTTTCAGAACTAAAACTGGTCTAAGGTTGTCTGTTACTGTCTTTCCTTTAACACTGTTCTGTAGTATGATATGGCATTGTCATTAAGCAAGTAAATGCAAAGATTAGCTTTTTCTGTCTGCATGGGTCTTCTCTACAAATGTTTGTAGTGCTATCCACTTTTTGAGGATTTCCTTTATTTAAGAAGAACTTTGCTGCACTGATTGTTGATATTCCTCCTCCTCTTCAGAAAGCTCCTCAGCTGCCGTTTTGTATTGCTCAGCCAGAAGTTGCTGAAGTTCCTCTGTAGACAGTTCCTCTGAGTGTTCCTCGACCAGTTCCTCAATATTACCAGTGTCTACTTGCAAGCCTGTGGACTCTGTGACAATGTCATTAACCACAGGGTCAGTTGAAAGCTCAGGCTCCTCTACACAGCCTTCATAGTCCCTGTCTTGTATAATTTTAGGCGACACTTTCTTTCAGGCAGATCTCAGTGTACTTAGAGAGATGTTGGCCAAGGATATCTCAACCCCACACAGGAAAGGATGTTTTGTTCCTTCCTTATGCCCAGGAGAACATACATTACCCAGGAAGCCATTTATCTCTGTCATCATTTCAAACTCATGTGTGTAATTTTCAAAGAACTCTTTAAGGGTTAAATCTGTGTCTGAGACCATCTTGAAGTACTTCAGGAACAATTCCTTGGTGTATAGCTTCTTAAAGTTAGCTATAATCTACTGGTCCATAGGCTGCGGTAGAGGAGTTGTATTAGGCTCAACTGAGAGCCATGGGAATTCTTTAGCCAATTCTTCTTCCAAATCTCATGGGTGAGCAGGAGCAGTGTTCATGATGAGAAAAGCCTGAGTAGTAAACCCTTGTCCTCTAGGTATTTCTTAACAGTAGGACAGAAAGCCTCCCCGCTCCACCCAAGAAAAAGTACTCTTGTTACCCCGACTTTGTGTTAGGTATGCATGTAACCCCTAGCCTGTTTTTCATGACTTTATGTTTTCTGAACACTCTAGGGATTGCAGAGTGATAAACCAAGAGAGGCTTTATCTTAAGGTCACCTGTTGGATTGGCACATAGCAGTAAGCTTAGCCTATCCGCCTGTCTTGGTTACTTTTGTTGTTGTTGCTGAGACACAAAACCTGACGCCCAACATTAAGAAAGGAAAGGTTTAGTTAGCCTATAGTTTGTGGAGGTTTTAGTCTATATTTGGCTGGCTCCAAGGCAGAGTGGCACTTGGCAGAAGGCAAACGTTTATGGAGGCAGAGAACAGCAAAAGCATCAAGAGCAGAAGTGGGGAGGGGCAGAGAAGAGCAAGCCTCTTTTTCTGCCTTATATTATAAGCAGGCTACCCCCCTCTAGGGAGCGGGGGGAGCACTCACATAATCTCCATGCCCTCCTCTTGCACAGGCTCAGGATGAATACAAAGTAAGCACCCTGGCTCCCTGCTGAATCACATAGTTTAACCTTTTAAACTTTTAAAATTGACACAGTGAACAATATCTCAGAAGGGTAAGGCCATGTCCTTTTGACCCCAAGATGCAAAACTACAGAGTCACTTAGCCAAACCTCTAGACTCCCCAAATTGACACAGTGTATCAACCATAACACCATAGGCTTGTGGTCTGGCATTTTATTCTCTTCCTGGGTAATGTATGTTCTCCTGGGCATTGTCTTCCAGAAAAGGCCAGTTTCATCACAGCTGAAAACCTGCTGAGAGCAAAAGCCATTTATCTCTGTCATCATTTCAAACTCGTGTGTAATTTTCAACAGCCCTTTTATCAACACTGGCTGCTTCACCCTGCCTAGTTACGCTATGAACCCCAGTTCTCACTTTAAAATTGTGAAACCATCCTTTACTGACATGAAATTATTACTCATTTCACTGTTACTGCTCACTGATGAATTATCTTTTATGAGATCCGCATTATATCCCTAGCTTTTTTTGCAAATTACAGATTCAGATAGGCTATGACCTGCCATCTGCCTTTTGTTTATCTACACTAATAATAGCCTTTCTACCTCATCTAACACTGTTGTTCATGATTTACTAATTTGAGGAACAACTTTAGCAACACTAGCTTTCTTATATAAATCTTTCCTCTGTAAGACAGTCAAGATAGATTTTGACATGCTGTACCATTAGTGAGATAGGTTACAGGAAGGCCATTCTTGAATTTCTCCAGTTTCTTTCTTTTCTATTATAATTGCTTTCTTTACCTTTCCTTCCTTTCTTAGCTTCTTTTCTAGCCGTTTGGAGGCCATTTTGGTAGCAGTAATTGTAGTGATCATATAAAGCACTGATCAAAATCACATCCACAGACGTGCATCTGGGCTCAGACTTACACTTATGTAAGCTTATATACAGTTTTCTTTTGTGAGTCTTTGTTTACAGTTGCACAAGTGGCCAGCATTCGGGTTGTTACTCAAGACTTTGGTTGTAAGTTAAGCCTAAAATTCTGGTCATAACACAAATTTTCCATATGTGACACCAGTCATAACTTCAGGGTCCATTGTATTTAAATAAAAATTGCTAATGTAATTAAATGCCATTAAGCATCCAGTGTCATTCCTGTTAGACTAAAATTGCAGCCTCAAGAGTAGGATTTCAAACTCAAATACACTGTAGAAAAATGTACACTTACTTAAGGCTGGACTAATTCCTTGCTCTTGAAGTGATGAAAGTGTTTAATAATACTAAAAATAGTAGATGAGACATTAAAAAACATGGAAACTTTAAATTATTGAAGTGGATGAAAAACTGAAGCTTAAGTAGCCTTTGTGAACAGTGACATAATGGAATAGAGAAATCTAGAGTAGAATTTTAAGTATTTGTTGGCCAGGCATGGTGACTATGCCGTAATAAGGCTGAGGCAGGAAGATCGTTGTGAGTTCAGGGCCAGCCTAAGCTATATAGTGAGTTCTAGGCCAGCCTGAACTACATAGTGAGACCTTGTCTCAAAAAAAAAA